CCCCAAAACCCCAAAACCCCAAAACCCCAAAACCCCGAAGTACTTCCAGGTAATTGGATAAAAATAAATACCAATAAATTATTATTTGGATATTTATAATAAAAATGTCTGATTTACTTGACAAACTTCGAAGAAGAAATCTTAAAGTCAGAGAACTACAGAACAAGTATGAACTTGGCCTGCATCCATTCCTAAAGCCTGAGAATGCAATGATATATAACCCTGGGTCTGAAGGCAAAGAGCCCATAAAGATCCAATACGGAGATTCACAGCAGTCTGCAAACACGGGATCTTTGAGTGCAAGTGACGGAGTTAGTAAGTCAGGTGGAGACGAAGACGCCAAAACAGAGACTTCACACAAGAAGAAATACTTCGACGACTTCGAGTACAACGACGTCCTTGACGACCTGTACTGCAAGCCTTTTATGGACGACGAAGACTGGATCAGCAGCGACGAAGAAAACGACGAAGAAAGAAAGAACCGGTCTGACAAATACAGAGCCAGCAATCTTGCTTCTGAAGATGCTAAGGGACTCTCAGACACATCTCCAAACAAGTCTGGTGAAGACTCCAGCTCTGAAGAGGAAGAAGCCAAATCTGTGAATCCAGAGAAAGTCAACTGGTTCAAGTTTATATTCAGCAAACATGTCAAAGAAGACGATCCTGCCTACGAGACTTTGAACTCTTCAGTCGTCACTCAAACTATTTTGTCATTGCTGATATCTGACAAAACTGACGAGCAGATCCAGGAAGGTCTCTTTGAAAATTTAGGCTTCGAGAAAATAGATATGATAACTGAATTCATCAGCAAAAGACAATTCATCAAAGAATATTGCGAAGTGCTTTCCAAACAAATCAACAAAGAAAAGAGGAACCAAGGTTCTGGGTACAACCCTCACCAGTTCTCGACCGGAGTCACAGTCAGCTATGGAAACAAAAAGAACAAGAAAGGCAACAGAAACAAGAAAGCTAAGCAAGGAGCCAAAGGCCAGGTCTCCAACCATGAACTCCTGAGCAAGCTTGGCTTCTCAGCTGAGTTTATCGAAGAAAACTACAAGCTTGGACTTAAAGAGCGAAACCAGAATGCAATTGGCTATGTAGACACTCCAGAGCCTCCAAGAAGAAGAGCCCAAGTATTCACAGCTCACGAGGACGGAAGAAAAATGGGCTACAAGCGAGACCAGTTTGATGAACCTGACTGGACAGAAATTCATTTGACTCCTCCAGCACGCTCCGAAGCAAGAGACAGCCACGAGAAGATTCAGATTTCGGAACTTCCAAAGTGGGCTCAACAAGCTTTCTCATCGACGACTCAACTCAACACCATCCAGAGTATCGTCTTCGACTGTGCGTTCAACTCGTCCAAAAACGTCTTGGTGGCTGCTCCGACGGGAGCAGGTAAGACCAACATTGCTCTGCTGACCATCCTCAGAGAAGTCAAGAAGTACATCAACACAGTTGGGCCTGAACCCAAGAAGATCGACATGACTGACCACCCGATGAAGATTGTGTACTTAGGTAAGTCTGCTCTTAACCCAAATAGCTCCTTTGAAAGCGCTTGCAGCTGAAATTGTAGACAAGTTCACGAAAGCTCTGAGTTACCTCAAGATCAAAGTCAGAGAAATGACTGGAGACATCAGTCTAACCAAGGCTGAAATGAAGGAAACGCATATCATCGTTTCGACACCCGAGAAGTGGGATGTGGTCACCAGGAAAAGCGAGAACGTCATGAACGAAGTCAACCTCATGATTATCGATGAGATCCATCTTCTGAATGATGAAAGAGGAACTGTCTTAGAATGTCTTGTGTCAAGAGCTCTTACCACTTTGATAAGGAACCAGAAGGTCATCAGGATTCTCGGGCTCTCTGCTACTTTGCCAAACTACATAGATGTTGCTGACTTCATCGCTGCTAGAGAAGATAGCACATTCTATTTCGATCCTTCTTACAGGCCAACTCCATTGAGGTGAAGATTTTACGGAGTTAAAGACTACGGCTCGATCAAGCGAGCAGAAAACGTGATGAATGATATCACTTACCAGAACATTGTCAGATGCTTGAAAATGGGAAAGCAAGTTCTTGTGTTTGTTCACAAGCGTAATGCAACCTCTTCAACAGCTCAGGACCTGATTGAAATTCTCAGAACCACTCCAAAAGACAAGCACCTCTTTGACTGTGAGAATGCACACAAAATGTACAGAAAAGTGGAGTCCTCAAAGAACAATCAGCTCAAAGAACTGTTTCCTTACGGCTTCGGAATCCATCATGCAGGTATGCAACGGGAAGAAAGAAACCTCTCAGAAAAACTGTTTGCAGGTGGACACATCAAGGTCCTGTGCACCACTGCTACGCTTGCTTGGGGAGTCAATCTTCCTGCCTACTGCACCATCATCAAGGGCACTCAGATTTATGACAACAACGCAGGAGAGTTCAAAGACATTGGAATCTTCGACGTCCAGCAGATCTTCGGTAGAGCTGGAAGGCCTCAATTCGATGTTGAGGGTGAAGGAATCATCTGCACAACCTCCACCATGGTCGACCACTACGTCCAAATGATGTCAAACGAACAAGACATCGAAAGCCACCTCGAAGCAAGGCTTGACGACTGACTCAACGCTGAAATTGCAATTGGAACTGTCACTAACATCACCGAAGCCATCCAGTGGCTCAAGCTGACTTACTTCTGGATCAGGCTGCAGAAGAACCCTAGGAACTACGGAGTTGACATGAAACAGCTTGCTGATGACCCAACACTGAACTCTTACTTGTTCGACTTGGTGAATCAGACTTCGAGAAGACTCAATAGCTACAAACTCATTAAGTATTTTGACAAACACGACATGCTGAGCACAACTGACATGGGCAGAATTGCCAGTGGCTTCTACGTGAACGCTAAAACCATGGACTACTTCATCAAGAACATCACTCTGCACACTCCTGAAGAACAACTTCTTGTGCACATGGCTCACTCTGAAGAGTTTGAGCAGATCAGAGGCAGGCCTGAAGAGGAGGAAGAACTCAGTATTCTCTTTGAAAGCTGCTCCATGGCTGACATCAGCAAGGACGAAATCCTGACAAACTACGGTAAAACACTGATTCTCCTCGAAAGCTACTTGCGAGGAATAAAAGTGGATATTGCAGATTTGGGCTACATTGTCCAGAATTCAGCCAGAGTAATGAGAGCTCTATTTGATTTCTGTCAGAAGAAGAACTTTGCAAAACTCACAAGAGAATGTCTAAAATGGTGCAAGCTCATTGACAGAAGAATGTCTCCAGAAGCACACCCATTGAGACAATTCACATACAGCTGCAATGTTGGTAAGCATCTATCTCATTCACTTCCCCTTATTTCACAGTTTCATATCTCTCTTCCCTTTTCTCTCAAACTTCTTAAACATACCCACTCCTAAAACCTGCTCTATTATCCTCCCATTCCACCTCCAATTCCCAACCAACTTATCAACAATATTCAATATTTCATCTTACAAAATTTTCCTTTTACATAAAATCCCCTAATTCCCCATTCTTCTTTACAAATTTTTTTGTGGGTCCACTTCTTCTTCAGAGTTTAAGTACAAAACTTTTCTAGTGCAACTGTGAATTTTTGTTACCGAGGGAAAATAGGATTTTGTAGAAAGAAAATTTAGAATTAGAGGGTTAGGTAGGATTTTGAGGCTTAGAGTAGGAAATTAAAGGGTGAGATGGCTAATTTTGGGATAGGAAAATTGACAATGGCAGGAGGAAAGGGAATTACTTCAGGACTCATGCCAGCATCAATTGTGAATGACCTTGAAAGAGCACGTATCTCTCTCGACTCTATTTTCAAAGGTGAAGATGATGAGCTTATTAAATATCATATCGGAGGTGCCTTCCTTGACTCTCTGTACAGTTTCGTCAAGCACATTCCTCAGATTGATATTCAGATAGAAACAAAGACCTTGACTAGGTCGATTCTGGAAGTGCATCTGACGCTGTTCCCAAAGTTCATTTGGAGCAAGAAATGGAACGGCAGGAGCGAACCATTCTGGATCATCATTTCGAACGGTGAAGAAATCTTGACTAGTCAACTCATCGACATTGCAGGAGCTGCTAGGTTCGATGGAACCAAAGGTATTGTGTCAACCTTCTTTGTTCCATACGAAATTGATGACTCAGAAGATAGAGCCAGTTCATCCACATACTACGAAATCGACGTTGTCTCAGACAGATGGATTGGAGTAGACTTTTATAAAAGTATTTATCTGGAAGATATTGAAATTCCAGAGAAAGACTACCCGCACACAAAGTTGCTTCCACTGAAACCACTTCCGCTGTCAGCTTTACAGAACCCTGCATATGAAAGACTTTACAGCAGCAAGTTCCAGTTCTTCAACCCTGTGCAAACCCAGGTGTTCCACAACCTGTACCACAATGACATGAATGTGTTGATTGGAGCTCCAACTTCTTCAGGTAAGACAATCATGTCTGAGCTTGCCATTCTCAGAGTCTTCAACGAAAGGCCAGACGGAAAGATCATCTATGTGGCGCCGATGAAGGCTCTAGCCAAAGAGCGAATTGTCGACTGGAAGAGAAAGTTCCAAGAAGGAGAACTCAAGAAAACAGTAGTTGAACTCACTGGTGACTTCACCCCAGATATTGAAACCCTCAAGAAAGCCGACCTCATCATTACGACTCCAGAGAAGTGGGATGGAATCAGCAGAAACTGGCAGCATAGAGACTATGTTAGACAAGTCGCTTTGGTCATTCTCGACGAAATCCATCTTCTCGGACAAGAAAGAGGCCCTGTCATTGAAGTCATTGTGTCACGCTTCAGATACATTATTGCTCAGACGAAGCTCAACGTCAGAATCGTCGGGCTTTCAACAGCTCTGGCCAATGCCAAGGATGTTGCTGACTGGCTCGGAATCAGCAAGTTCGGACTATACAACTTCAAGCCTTCAGTGAGACCTGTACCGATAGATGTTTACATTGACGGATTCCCTGAGAAACACTACTGTCCAAGAATGTCTACAATGAACAAGCCTACATACAAAGCAATCATGACTCATGCAAGAGAACACCCCACTCTGATCTTTGTATCTTCGCGGAGACAGACCAGACTGACTGCGCTTGACCTGATTGCACTGATCTCTGGCTCTCAGCTTTCAGGAGACACTTCATACAAAGCCTGCGACCTCAGCAACGAAGAAGTAGAAGCCTACCAATGAGAGATTGATGATGAAAACTTGAAGAACACCATCCAGTTCGGAATTGGAATGCATCATGCCGGACTCACCGAGAACGACAGGAAGATTGTGGAGCATTTGTTTGTCAACAAGCGCATCAATATTCTTGTGACCACAAGTACTCTTGCTTGGGGAGTCAACTTCCCTGCCAGACTGGTCGTTATCAAAGGCACAGAGTACTTCGACGCCAAAGTCAAGCGGTACGTCGATATTCCAGTGAGCGATATTCTTCAGATGATGGGTAGAGCCGGAAGGCCTCAGTTTGATGACAAAGGAATCGCATGCATTTTTGTTGCTGAAGAGAAAAAGAATTTCTACAAAAAGTTTTTGTATGAACCATTTCCAGTTGAGTCTAGTCTTCCAGAACAACTAGTTGAACATCTAAACGCTGAAATTGCTGCTGGAACATTGAACAGCATCAAAGACTGCTTGGACTACATGACATGGACTTACTTCTTTAGAAGACTTACAAAGAATCCTTCTTTCTACAACCTTGACAGTCAAAATGCTGCTGGCATGCTTAACGACTATCTGATGGATCTTATCAAAGGCTGTCTGACCAAACTTGAAAAGGCCAAGTGTATCGAGTTCAATGAAGACGACGGAACCATCATTTCAACAAGCTATGGATACATGTGTTCGTTCTACTATATTTTCCATGAAACCATCTGCAGACTCAGCACCGACATCAAAGCAGGAATGAAGAATCCAGGCCAGTTCATTTCGATGCTCACTGAAAACAAAGAGTTTGCAGGACTTCCAGTCAGGCACAACGAAGATGTACTCAACGAAGCTCTTGCAGTGATGTGTCCGATCAAAGTTCATACAAAAGATTACGGTAAATCCATTATTAATGTCTAGGCTGTCCCCATGTAAAATCGAATTTGCTGTTGCAAGCCCACTTTTCAAGAGTCCCGCTACCAATCACTGATTACATCACCGACACCAAGAGTGTTCTCGATCAGGCTGTGAGAGTTGTCCAGTGCATGATTGATGTTTCTGCACACAAAGGATACCTTGACACGACCCTGAACTTGCTTTCGTTCCAGCAAATGATAATTCAGGGTTCTTGGCACAATGACAGCGCCTTGAAAAATGTACCGTTCTTTAGTGACAAGATTATTCAGAGGTGTGCAGAAAGAGGCATATTCCATCTCTGTCAGCTTCAGACAAAGCTAAAGAACCTTTCTCATTTCTTGAACAAAGAAATCAAAGCAGGGCTTTCTGAAGAAGAACTCAAAATGATTTACAGTGCCCTTGCTAGAGTTCCCATTGTCAACTTAAACTATTACATACAGAATGTAAACTCGATGGGAGACCCTACAGACGGAGCCCTTGATGAAGGAAGTGAAGCCATCATGACAGTCAGTCTTGAACGGAAGCAAGCTAAGACTAGTAAAGCAGTTGTGATCAAGTCTTTCCCGAAACCTAAAGATGCTGGCTGGTTTATTCTTGTAGGAAACCCAATCGAGAACGAGTTACTTGCCTTGAAGAGAACTCCACTCAATAAGTTTGCAAAGAGAGAACTCCAGTTGCTCCTTCCAGATGACTTCAAAGACCAAAAACTGAAGCTGTACCTCATCAGTGATGCATACATTGGAATCGACCAGACTATCGAGATAGACCTTAGAAAAGTAAGCGTCATTCTCGAACAAATTGCGAGTGGGCAGGTTTCTGCAAACAAACTCAAAGACCAGAAGCACCTCGTCAAAGATGTTGAGATTGACAGTGACGAAGAGCATGAGAGAAATGAACTATCAGACTCCGATTATGATGAAGAATACTCGGAAAGAGCTTCTGACATTTCAGATGATCTCATAGAAGAACTCTAAGTTAGAATCAGTATCCAATGCAATCTTAGCATCATGGGGTTTTGGGGTTTTGGGGTTTTGGGGTTTTGGGG